ATGACTCCCAGATCCTTTTCCACCTCCGTGCTGACAAGAGGGGAGTTCCCCAACCTGTAGGTATGGTGCCGGTTGTTCCTCCCCAGGTGCAGCACCTTGCACTTGTCTGTGTTGAATCCCATCCTGTTCTCATCCGCCCACCCTTGTAGCCTGTCCAGGTCCGACTGTAGCCTATTCCTCCCTTCTAGCGTGCCCACATCCCCCCACATCTTAGTGTCATCAGCAAACTTGAACAGGGTGCTTTGCACCCCCTCGTCCAAATCACTGATGAAGATGTTGAATAGCGCGGGCCCAAGGACCGAGCCCTGGGGGACCCCACTGCCCACATCCCTCCAGGTTGAGAAGGACCCATCCACTACCACCCTCTGGGTGCGGCCCTCCCTCCCTCTGAACACCTGCTAATATCCTTGGTAGATGCGCGTGGAGGATCCAGTATGACAGGGTGCATCTCAGACACACGGCAACGCCCGCCTGGGAGAAACTACTGGAGCAGAAGCCCGGGCTAGAGGGGTCACCACCACGGGCAGCCGGTCCCCTCACAGTGCACAAGCTGAGAGACGCAATAAGTTGGTGGAGCGTTGGCTTTTTTAGCCTCCCGCAGTGGTTTCCAGCCACTTGCCTGCAAGCACCTGGGGGGCCCAAGACCAGAGCCCTCCTGCAGGTGATGGAGGGGCCCATCCTGGGGCTGGCCCTGCCCTCGGCTGCTGCAGGCCCCTCGGCCAGCCTGGCTCCACGCCCACTTCCAGCTGGTCCCGCAGGCTCTGGGGTCAGCAGAGAGCCCGGTTACCTGCAGCAGCAGCTGGCTGGGAGCCAGACCTTGTCCTTTCCCCTCCCCAAGGATGGCACCGGCCCCCCACATTGCAGGAGGGTTTGACAACAGGAGGCACAACGCCCGGAAGCAAGATCCGTGGGTGAGGGCCCAGGTCCGTAGCCTGGAGCCCACTCCTCCCCCCGGCCCTTGCCAGCCTCTTCTGCCGGCGTCCCGGGGCATTCAAAGGTGACCTGCAGGGAACCGACCGAGGCAGGGCCCTGGGCCGTTAACCACGACACGTGTCAACTTAACCATTGCCAGCGGGTTTACAGCTGCACCAGCACTTCTGGAAACACCTCCCGTCCCCTCCCAGACCTGGAGCAGTTGAAGGCATCCTTGGTGCAGGGCTGAGTTGGCCTCGCTGGGCTTGGGAGGCAAAAATAACTGGTTTTTGCAAATATGGAGCTCTGAAATGCATCGAGACCGTGGCTCAGCGACTCGGCGCCCTGCACAGCTCAGTCGGGGGCAGATGCACAGCCCCATGGGAGATGGGGCCACTTGGGGAGCCCAGCACAGAGATCACAAGCGGGTCCCAAGCTCCGGCACCCATGACACGGGGCACTGCATGGCTGAGATCAGTCCAACGTGGGTCCGACTCGCCCAGAACTAGCATCTCACTTCAGTCCTCCCAAGTGAACATGTCCGATTCTGCAGACGCTTCTCGTGGACACCTTGGACTGTGCAGAAACGGAGCTTCCTGCTGCAGGGCTGTTGGAGTGAAATATTCCCGACCCATTGGAAACTCAGCTCGACACCTGGTGCCAGCCTGGGCTCTCACGCTGCTTTCACCTCCAGGATGCTGGCAGAGCTGAAACAGGCTGACCAGCTAATTAGACGGCTCCATGCAAGCTCATGCATGCAGGAGGGAGGGCGCCAAAGTTGCGTATGGGGTGGGGGGCTGTGGCTCAGTAGAGAGCTGGGGGGCTGTGGCGGTCGCTGCCTGAGTGCAGAGCACGTGCTGCCCTGAGATGCATGTGCAGGGGAACACAGAGGAGTGGAGTAGCATCCCGCCCTCCGTGCAAAGCATCGGCAAGAGCGTGGCTCGATCCTGTGTCTGAGCTGCAGAGAGAGAGCTGTTGCGTTGGCAAGGGCTCAGCCGTGGGAATCCTGCCTTCCCAGGTGAGCCGAGAAAGGTGCCACGAGTTTGGTTAGTGCAAGAGGTTGGGGGCAGCTGGTGATTCCTGGTGGCAGAGGGCAGTCTGTTGCCGCTGGTGGAGGCAGGGCAAGTCCCTGCTCCCCGCGGGGCACCTTGGCCCATTTGGGGTGAAGAAGGTTGCTCCCAGAATGATTTGCCCCGAGCAGTTTGCACTGCTGCCTCACCCAGCTCCGCAGGGCTGTGGGGGCCTGCCACGACTCCACCAGAGTCCCCCGTGAGCCCAGAGGACGATGGGCCCCGGAGAGGCAGCCTGTCCCCCGGCAGGCCGGGTTCTGCCCTTGCTTTCACTAGTTGACCCCATGCAAGACACTTTGTTTGTGCCTCTGGCTCCCATTTGCAATGCTGGGGGGGAATCGGGTCCCCTTGCCACGGAGATGCATGTGTGTGTGTATGTGCCTATGCGTGTGGGGAGCCATCCAACCATTTTGATGCTGCCCAGTTGCAAACTGCGCCCAGCCCCTGCAGCGGCTGCTGCTGCTCTTGTACAAACATCTCGGCAGGAAAGAGTTAAGGGGGCGGCTTGCCCCCAGCGAGCCCCCGAACGGCACCTCCCTATTGTGCCCCAGCCCTGTCCCCAGCCGCCAGCTCCGGGTCATTAGGGATCCGCTCACGTCCCAGGCTCTTTCCCACGCTGGGCCTGTCACCCTGAATTACTGCTCCAGTTTCCAGCTCGGCGCTCAATAGCCCCAGCCGGGAGCCCGTTCCTCCCCTCCCGCTAATCCCCCAATCGTGTAATTAATAACACAAAGTGGCTTCTCTTCCCCCAACGAGCCGCGCGGCGCGGGAGCTCAGCCAGGGTCTATTAGTGGCTCCTGACGCCTGGCAGCGCCGTGTTTAAGGACAACAACAGATGGGCCAGGAGAGAGCGGGGGGCAGCCTCGTCTCCCTGCCGGGCCAGGGCTGGGGGCTCCTCTCCGTTGGCTCGGCCTTGCCTGTGGCCCTAGGCTGGGGCAAGTGCACAGGGATCGGTGCCACTGCCTGCAGAGGGCCTGGCCCTCCGGGCACCCGGCTCCTCCCCGGCGGGAGAGCAAAGGAGGCGCTGGAGCCCCATCCCCTGCAGCTGCTCCTCTCCCGGTCCCGGAGACGGGGTTCCCAGCTCCCCTGGGACAGCCGCTCCCCAGGCCCTGCTCTTCCGGCCCCCCCAGGGCAAGGCTCCTGTCTGAAGGCAGGTCCATGGTGCAAGGCGCTGGCCTGGGGCTGGCCCCGCTCCCTGTGCAAAGACATCCACCCTGCAGCAGCCACGACCTGGCCATATGCTGCCAGCGGGAAGCCAGGGGCTGCCTGGGCTTTGGAAGCTGAGCTCCCTTTGACCCTGGGGTCAAGGTCGGACAAGTGTGCGGTGCTGGGGATGGATCCGGAGCTTCACCCCAGGGGGACACCAGCTCCGCACCTCGTAGTAGCGGCTGATGGTCCCAACCGAGGGCCGCATTCACCAGCCCCTGCCCCAGTGCTTACGAGCCCGGTTGTGTTGCAAACCAGCCCGGCTGCTGGGAACAACCGGGCCCCGCTTACACAGCTAGCTGCAACGCTGGCTCCCGTCAGCGCGGGCGGCCTCCGCGGCCAGAACTGGAGCGCGGAGGTCCTCGAGGTCACGGCGAGGAAACAAACCATCTAGGGCAGCGCTGGCACGGTGGACAAGGACAGCTATTCATCGAGCTGTCCTGGTCTCTGGAGCAACAAATGCTGTCCGCCAAGCTGGGCTGGGGAGACCGAAAGGGACGGTGTGTGCAGGCTGGAGCGAGCTGGCCGGTCAGAGCGGGAGGGTTCAGCTGCTCTTGTGTGGGGGATCAAATGGAGACGTAGAAAGGAGCAGGGCCTTGGATACGTGCACACGTGAGGCAGTGCTCTTGCAGGACGCGGCTGGAGACACCAGGCCTGGGCTCCGAGCCAGGCAAAGACACTGAACCCAGAGGATGAAAATACACGGGACCTTGCCCAAGTCGCTGAGGCTCTTCCCTCCCCAGGGGTTTGTTAAAGGAAGGAGAAACCGGTGCCCTCACGTGGCCTCGCAGCTCCTTGAAATTGCCATTCAAAAGCCTTGAAACTTGCCCGCCTCTGAAAACCTGAGCTGGTAAAACAGGACCCCGGCCCAGGCGGAGACGGAGCGTCCCCGGGTAGCAAGGCCGGCTGGGAACCCAAGGCACAGATAAAAACGTGGCCTGGTTTCATGGAAGCATTTGGTTTCTGTGGCTTGGTGACGTCTCCATCGGGCTCCCTGCGCTCCAAATGCTTTTGTCGCATTTCAAAGCCGTCTTGAGCTGGGAAGCTGGAGCATGAACATGGGGGGGGGGTTCGAAGGAAAGACTGTGACAGCTCAGAAAGGTGCTAGCCACCACCATGGCAGAGTTGGCCCCTTTCCCAGCAATACCAGTGCTCCCATCAGAAACCCCCCAGGGCCGCGCTTGCCAGCTCTGCAGACGCACCTTGTTACCAGGGCCGGGTCTGAGCCAGCTGTGCCCTGGCAGAGGTGGCTGGGAAGCAGGCGCTGGTCACCTTGGCCAAAGGGGGCTGATGCCCCCTCAGGGCTGAACCCTTTTAGGGCTGTCCGTCATTGCAAGGGGGTTGCATTTTGGGCTTGCCCTCAGTCAACACAGCGATGGCTGAGGGAGTGGGCAAGGGAAGGGGAGAGAGCCTGCCCTGCACACAGACCGTGATGGTTCTCCTTGCAGGGCTGACTGGTTCCTCCTGGACAGCCGGACCATTCGCCACGTGGCCGTTGGCTTGTTCTGCTGTGGAGTCTCCATCTACTTAACAGGCAAGTGCTGTTGCCCCCTGCAAACCCCAACAGCCTGGTCCTGGGGAGCACGCGCGTCTGATCCAGGCTGGGTCCTGCCCCTCTCACCAAGCCTCTGCCTGCAGACCAGGAGCAAAGGGTGATTCCCCTGCGGAGGCAGGAGTTTGCCCCACGACCCTGGAGAGCTGGTGGCCAACCGACATGGCGAACAGGAAGGCTGTGGCAGCCTCTGCGCTGACACCTTCTCCCCCCCTTCCAGCTCTCGCCATCTACATGCTGCTGCTCTTTGAGATGGAGACGGGCATCACTGGCGCCTGCATCCTGTCCTCGGGCATCCTCGTCCTGCTCATCACAGTGACGCATGCCCTGGTCCGGGCCAAGCAGGTGGCACGGCGTGGCCGGACCCAGCTCTCCCACACCCTCTACGAGAACGACTCTGCCCAGCACGGCGAGGCTCCCGCCCGCCACCTCAACAACAGCAAGAATGTGGCTGGGCCCCGGCCCCGGCCGGAGATCCACCGGGAGTTTTCCTACCCACCGTTCCTGGAGCGGAAGGCCCCCTTTGCCTCGCCAGGCAGCAGCACCGTCAGCTCGGCAGGGAGCCCTGGGGCCCTGCCCGAAGGGAGCTGCAGCCTGCCCAGGACCCACCGGACGCTGTCGGCGGAGTCCGGCCTGCTGCAGGTGCAGGGCAAGCCCTGGAACGGGGTCACGCAGGAGATGAAGAATGTTCTGGCACGCAAGCCGGTGGCCACCGGGAAGGATTCGACCCTGGTGTGAGCCCGGAGCAGGAGCGTTTGGTCCCGGTCAGCCACCCGCCCCGCCGCCCAGGCCGGCATCTCTCCTGGAGCTCACGCCAAGCTGGTCCTGGCTCAGCCCATCCCCGGCCTCCCTAAACCCACCTGAAGTGGGGGAATCAACTGACTTGCCATGAGAAGGGACTTGGTTCCACTCCCTGCCTCCTCCTCCTCCCACCCAGAGGGGTTTGTGGGGGCACGGAAAGCTCTATCTGCCTCCCATCGCTGGCTGGCAGCTCCTGCCCGTGCCCTCTCCCACCAGCACCTTGTCTGCTAGCCAGCTTGGCAACAGGCCGCCTGCTCACAGGCAGGGCGCTGGCTCTGCAAGGCTACAGCCTGGTGCCACCCTGCAATGCCTCTAACCCTCTCCACAGTGGGGCAGGAGCAGGGCTGGCTGGATGGCCCTTTGGAGCCCTGGAGTGACCAGCGAGGGGCTGTTACAGGGAAAGGAGTTTATCAGGGCCTCAGCATCCCACCTTCGCCTCTTCTTGCTATTACCCAACGCTTGCCAGGCTCCCAGCACCCCCCTGCACAGTTTGCCTCTAAGAGGACCCTGCAGCCTTGCCCCTGGGTGAGGGCTGCCCAGTGCCCATCTCAGGGCACCCGACGATCTTCCAGCAGAACGCCGAGACCTGAGAGCTCAGGCATTTTGGAGGCCAAGACCCAGCCAGAAACACCCTACAGGGCAGCCTATTACCACTGAGGAGCCAGGAAGGCCCTGTGCAAAATAAACCGTGCTCTCCCTTTGCAGCACGCAAGTCTCAGCAACTGCATCAACTGAAGGAGGGACAGCCGGTGAGGCTGCAGCACTGATGCCCAGCGCTATCAGCCTGGAAACAGGCGCAGGCCAGAGGCTCCCAAGCAAGAGCAGGCTGACCAAGCAGCAGGCTCTGCGGAAGGCGGGGATGTCTCACCAGTAGCTCCAGAGAGCACCGACCTGGGCTGCAGGCAGAGGAAAGCCAGGCTTGTCTGCAGGCAGGAGCTGGCAGGAGGACTTGTGGCATGTGGGGCAGCAGAGCTCAAAGAAAACAGCCCACCAGGCGATTTGGACGTCAGTACTTGAAGAACAGGCAGAACATACCAGGCTTCTTCCAATGCTGCTTCTAAACCAGGGCATGGGTGCGACGGAGGTCAAGCGTGGCCCATGGAGATAGAGCTGCGGCCTGCCCCCTTTGCTAGCAGGTGTGTCAGCCAGCCAGGCCTCCAGGGATGGGGGCACCACAAGTTCCGGGGCCACGTTCCCCATGAAATGTGAGAGCTGGAAACAATCCTTGGGGTTTAGGTGAGGGGCAGCTGCTGGCAAACCAGCAGCATAGCAAAGCAAGGGAGCCCACAGCCACAAACATCCTTTTGCCCAGCCCCTGGCACTGCCAGCCTCAGCTCTGAAGCAGGGACGGGACATTCAAAGCCAGCAGGAAGGTGGCGAGGGCAGCCAGGAGCCAGCTGTGCTTTTGAGGCCCTGGGGGAATGAACACACCAGACTCAGACTAGCTAGTGCCAGACACTTTAGTAGCTTTGTTCAGGCTGCAATCAGAGCAAATCTTCCAGCTCCACAATCAACCCCCCACCCGACAGCTATGCAAGTGCCAAGTGACAAGCCCCCAATCCAGCCCTTGACCCTGCTTCTCTTCCCTTTGACCCAGCAACACTGTTAGTACAGGATGCCAACATCATGGAGCACACGTCCACGAAGGAATGCTACCAGCCAGCAAAACAACCCCCTTTTTTAATTCCAAGGGGCTGTGTTATGCTGCAGTGAACCCTTTGTAAACAAGCTGTTTTCTTTGCCAAGTAAACAGAATCTCAGCTTCCCTGCTGCATGAGCCACTCGTTCTATTAAATACTAGCAGGAGGTTGTGTTACTGCCAGAACTGCTCAGCCCGTTTGCATGCGGCAGTGCGATAGTTGCAGAAGCCTCTGGCTGGCAGAACAGATGTTGCTGAGACTCGGGCAGGTGGTCAGCAGCCTCGGGGTCAGGTGCCTGCACTACCTGCGGCCCTGTGCTGCGTTCAGCTGATCCTTCATGGCGATGGCCTGCTTGAGCAGCCCGTCGATGCTCTTGAAGTACACGCTGCTGTCAGTCATGTTCTTTATGGCACTGCAACAGATGGGGCAGGAGGGAGAGGAGATGGTTAAGAGCTTTGGGGCAGCACTGCAGTAGAAAACACATGCTCCCAGGCAAGGGCGTAGCTCACAAGGAGCTCCAGCTTCATGCGGCACTTTGAACCTTCCAGTGCTAGTGAGTGGGTGGGTTTGCTGGGAGGGACCAACAGGCCCATGCTGCATTGAAGGCAGTCAGTGCTGACAGTGCCCTCCTGGCCCTCCTCTCTGCTGAGGTGAGGCCAGTTAGTGCCAGTTCAGGCTTGACTCGCCCCTGTCTTGCACCTACATCAGTCTGAAGGAAGCAGACACTGCCTCCAGCCCCATTTCTGTAGTGCCGATGCTCATTCTGCACTGGTGCAAATGGCTCTGTGTTGCCCATGGCAATGTTGGCCTGTGCCATCTGGGAGCATGCAGAGGTGTCTTTTTTTGGAGCTCTTGGCTCAACAGAGACACACCTGGTTCCCCTACCCGTCCCCAACAGGTTACTCATCAATTCAGGAGTAACCCACAAGAACTCCTGTTGCTAGCAGCCAGGAGGGTACACTCAGCACAGAGCTGAGCCATGGTCGGTCAGCGGGGTTTGAGCACCCATGTGCTGAAGTTGTGAAGACACCAGCAACCTGAGTTGGGGAGGGTGAGCTGGAGACTCGGCTTCAGCCTTGACCAGCTCCTCCTGCTTACGCAGGGCAGGGTCGTTGCCCAGAGAAGTGCAGTCTCCAAAGTCTTGCCAGCCCTGTCAGGTACCTGCAGGCATATTCCACAGTGTAGATGGCCCCTTGGCTCTGCTCCTCCCAGCTCTGCATGTCTGACTGCAAGGCAAATCACAGAGAAAGCAGAATGAACCTTGTGTCACAAAAGCAACAGGGCTGGTGTCTGCTGGGCAGGCAAATGCTTTCCCCGTGACCCAGACGGCCCACTCCCAGGTCCTCCATGCACCTAGGGACAGCGCTGCTGGTCCAATGGGGAGATGTGCTCAACCCAAGTCCAGCGCAGCTGTGGCCACTGAGTCATTTTATGTGCCTTGCCCTGAAGCAAGCAGCCTTCACCTACCCTGACCCAGGGGTTCAGTACTGACCCTCTGCTCAGGAGGGAGGACACAGTGAAATGGGGCTGGGGGGAGAGCATGGGAGATCAGGTCCAGCAGAGGGGTGGCCAAGCCACATCACTCCCCGAGCAGCCTGCCTTTTGTCTCCACTTGTTTCACACATTGCTTGTGTCTGGGGCCAGGTTGTGATGCCTGTTTCCAGCACTCTCAATGCTTCCTGGGGCTTTCATGCCCTTCATTAGGAACAGGAGCCTGTACCCCCCCCCCCCGCCAGCTCCGGACTTCTTAATCTCCTCTCAATGCCCTTTCTCAGAACTCCCAGGACAGTTCCTCGGATGCAGTTAATCACTAAAGCCAGCTAATGATATAGCCAAGCGCTAACAATGAATTAGGGGAGTGCGGCAGCAAATTAATGAGGAGTCCTGGGCTCCTGTGAGATCAGGGGAAAGGCAGGAGCAGGGCTTAGCAGCCCAGTGCCAGCACCGGGGAGCACCCGGCCCCGTGTCGCCCGTATCTTATCAGCGAGGAGTTAAGTGTTAAGTCTGCCTGGAGAGTTGGAGATGCAGGAGGGTATTAAGATGATTTTAATCAATCAGAGAAGTTGCTTGTTGTGCCGGCACAGAGGTCACCTTCTCCCTGCACCAGCCTTCCCCACACCGCTTTATCCCTATCTTTAAAGCCTCTGGGAATGTCTAAACCCACATCTCCACAGACAGGGAGGGAAAGCGGATTACCTCCTCCTAATCTGCCCCAAGCCTGTGCCACATTTTCCCTTGCAGCACTTTTCTTTGCATCATGGCCACTTGAGTTTTAAATTGTCCGAGTAATGGGACTACCAACACTTTCCTTGGGAGACCATTCCTGGGTCCCCAGCCAGAGCTGGTGCCACAGCAAAGCTTAAGGCGCTAGGCAGTCAGCTCTTGAGAGGACACAAAAGGTTGTCCTGTCATGGACCAATGACCTCAGGCCACCACCCTAGCAAAGCTTCCTTTGATCCATCCCCCCAAGCCCCAGTGCTGTTGCTACGAACATGCCTCACTAGACCGGGATGCTGATTCCTTGACATCTAGTGTCCTTCCCACCACAGGCGTGGCACTTGCAAAAGCTCCCTTTGCTTTAAGTCTTCTAAGAAGTAACAAGAAGCAAAGTCATGACGTAGAGGCAGGTTTGAGTTAAATCAGCCCTGACAGCGGGTGCCTGAAGCACAACCGGTCTGACACCCTCAGCCCGTGCAAACTTGCGAGGCCTGCATGGAGCCGACGGGCCCTGGCAAAGCAGCTGACAGAACCCATCCAGATCTTGTTAAAGGTGCCAGCAGTGATGACGGCTGAGCCCTTCTTCATTTCAAACAGCCGCTTGTGAACTGAGTAATAAAGTGAGCATCAGACTGGCTCTTCTGCTCTCTGTCTGCCAGCAGAGACCTTGTTAGGGGGAGCCAGCGGGAACGCTCAGCATCTGGAATCCATTGGTCAGCAGGGAAGAGTTTAAACACAGCTTACACCTGACTCACAGGGAATGGATCCCAGGCAGCTGGGGCACCTGTGACCATGGCAGACATGACACTGTGGCTTATTAGAAACTGTTCCCTGTTGAACCCCAGGGACGGGTCGAGCCAAGCTGAGGTGGTGCAGCGACAGGTCACAGTAGGTGTCTGTGTAGCCGTCGCTGCCCTGATGCAATGAATCCTCTTTTCTCCATCTCCCCACTTCTTTGCTCCATCACTGACAACTGGGATGAAACCTGGGAACTATTCTAGAGACCAGATGCAGCACAGGCTCAGCCTGCGGTGCCTGCTCTGCTCTCAGGTACTCCTGGTTTACTGGCAGCACCTTGGAAGCCAGGGGCATTATGAAGATGCACATCAGCATCCAGCCAGGTGAGGAAATTGCTGGGAACAGACTGGGACCCAGGTTCACCATCCTGGAGCTACTGACACCAGCCAAGTGCAGTCCAGGCTGACGACTACTGCAGACGTATGCTGCAGCTAAGGAGGGTGGGACACACCTGTGGCTACATGTTGTCCTGGATCCTCTTGGGACAACACATCACTTGTCTGAGGTGACCCCAGTGTCAGGCTGTCAGGACAGACCACAAGGCTGAGCTCAGATGTGTCCATGCTACATGCCAACACCTACAGCTGCAACTTTAGCATGGAGAGGGACCAGTGGTGGGGGCTTTGGCTGCCTGACCCCCCTGGCTGTCAGGTCAAGAGGAAGTAAGAAACACCAGCTACTCTAGTCCAAGGCCTTGAGACAGCAGCAGCCAGGAACATGGCCCAAGCTGACTCTAGAGAGCCATCCCAGCTCTGCAGGGAAGGGGGAGAAAACCAGGGACCCAAAACTAGGAGGTATCCCTGCCTTGATGCGCCCACAGTCTAACACCACCCTGCACCTGGCTCTCATGCTGCCGTCCTCCCCGTTGGCCTGCCTATGCCCCCTCAGCAATGGCAGCTGATCTCTTCCTTCTGCCGGGCTGGCCAGATGGTTTGCTCCATTCCCTGTTGCTCAGGGCACGTTCCCTGCAACAGGAGCTATGTGGATTAAATCAAGGTGAGCAACAGCTCAGGAACAACACTACAAGCATTTCCCCACTCACAGCAGCACAGCCCAGCCAGGCCTGCATGTGTGGCACGGGAATCTCTGCAGCCCTCCCTGCATGGACACATGCTTGAGCGTGCCTGGGAGAAGTCAATAAATAATTGAATAATAAAGTGCCACAACTCCGGTTTGTTTGGATGCCCAGGCTATGAAGTAAAGGTAAGAAATGGGGCCTGACAGGGCATTAGCATAGGCCCGAGGCAGTGAGCTACTCCTGTAGCAGTGCCCCTGCTGAGCTCTGACTGGCAGGGGAGGCGGCAGGGCTGGCACTGAAGCATCTGCTCTCCGTGTGCAGTCGGCCAGGGCAGGCGCACAGCTGCAGGCTGCTATTTTCTACTCCCTCCAGCCCGGGGCTCCCAGCTCAGAGCACAACTCACCTTGTGCTGGGCCAGCTCAGGCAGCGACCGCCTCACGTGCTCTTGCAGCCGGTAGAGCGCGACCGACGGCTCGTTGGCCAGGATGTACATGCTCTCGGTGAACTTGTCTGTAACTAAGGGGAGGGCAGCAGCTGGTTATGGGACACGGGCAGAGTCCCTGGCCTCTGAAATCACTAGCCCTCCTGCTGCCGCATCACAGCACAAGCAGAGCACACGGAGATGTCTGCCTCCAAGCTCTCCTGTACCCAGGCTGCGACAGCTCCAGGGTTTCCTCCACGCTCTGGGCATACTGGCTGGCCCCAGGTAGGTCCCTTCACCTCTGGACTGGAAGCTCTCACTACATGCCTCCGCAGCTCCTGGCACAGCAAGGCTGGCTGTGACCCACAGGCCGGCTGCCACGCAGACTAGCAGCAGCCTTGCTCACCGACACGTGCTGTGCGCACAGCCCAGCCGGTACGCCCGGCACCACGCACCGAGGACGCACGAGCCCCAGTTCCAGCTTGTGAGCTCAGCAGCCTGTGAGCAGTTCTTCTTTCCCCTGGGAGCTGGAAAAGCCCCGCGCCCCCTCACTTCCCCTTTTCCCTAACGGTGCCTTGCAGCACAGAGACCGGAGGCAGCTGCCAGGAGCAGCCTTTCCGCAGCAGCTGTGGATTCCTCCTGGGTTTCAAATGCAAATAAAAGCGCTGGGC